TAATTAGCGTGCGCTGACTGTTCTCTCGTGATGTGTATATATCATACAAAGATCTATAAACGGATCGTAAAAAGATCGGCTCTCGTGTCCAGGCCCCCGCCCGCTGGAGATCGAGCGGCCGGGACGAGGCGGCTAATAATAGGAATCGGTCGTGACGCGTTATTATAATAGGTCGCCGGTGGCGTCCGTCTTAAAATAACGCCGCCGCGTGTACGTGCGCGAAACGGCGTCGGGCTCATGCGTGTCGCCGCCAATAGGTTGCGAGCAGTCACACGGCGACGATACATATTTTTATCATCACATTAATATGATATTATAATTTTGATCGGCGCGCGAAACGATCGATTGTCGCATACGACAGTCGTACGGTCGTCCGTCARCAACGCGACAACTATACGACAGCTGGGAAATCGGTACGCGTCTCGGCGGCGTTTTGTGTCTTCCAACCATGTGCCCGTCTCGTCGGTCCKACGATAAAATATAAGTGACGTCCGGTCGGAAACAACCGCGTGTGAGCACCTACCTAAGATCCAGCGCGATACGATTGTACAGAACTGCAGTTGAAAATTGCTGGTACGCACGTAAGTTCCTGAGCAGCAAACAAAAATTCAAAATTATAATATGCGTGTTGCCCGCGTGCAGAGGCTGGACGACTTTAATCGGTTAAAAAGTCACAAAGTCTATGGTATTTGTCTATGAACTTTTTGCCTCGAATACTAGTCGGCTGATTAAACTAATGACTATTAACTAGATAGTTAAATCAAAATCCATCTTAATCACTAACTAGCTTTTATCGTGATAAATTTGAAAAATAATACGTTGAGTTAAAAAAATGCTTATACCATTGTGCGTCATAACATTTATTACTTATAGCTGTAGTCAAATCTATTCTTTTTAAAACTCTGTATACTATTTTATGCAATCATTGAAAAAAAAATTAAAATTAAAAATAGAATATTAAGCTTAATGTACCTAATAAATTAGTTAACACAAACGTATAACGCATAGAAATATAACAGTTAGGTACCTAGTACTGTGTAAAAGGAAAAAAAAAAAATCAAGTATTTTTAACAAAATATTTAGTTTTAATTAAGTATTAAAAAATTAATTTCAATTGACCCTAAGTATGCAAGTGGGCCAAGTGGTAATTGAAAAATTCAAATGAATAAAAATATTATATTAATTGTTTTAGCAGTGTTTGTTTCTATAATGTTTTCTCCCTTTTCACTAATTCTGTAAGAGGTATAGATGGTAATGTTCGTTTTAATGAATTACTAAAATAAGAATCTCAACTATTAACAATAAACTCGAGTGGTATTGAGTTTAGAAGAAAAAATGKATTTTTAGTACGGTACTGTTTCATGGAAAATAAATATTAAAATACAATTATATTTTATATAATTTAATAATAGATGGTTGAAATTATAGAAATATTATACAGCTGATATAATGTCATCACCTTCAGAGATTTATATTTTTTACCTCCGTGTAAGGAGCTTACTCGTATGGGTTAGCCGTAAGATTTTACTCGTATTTTTGTAATTCCGGTGTTTTAATTAAAATGTTGCACTTTAACATATTACAACAACGATAAATAAACCAATCCAGAACGGGAACATCGCCACCAGTTCACGTAAATAGTTTGTCAACATCATGAAAACAAATGCATTAGTATAAATTACTATCGATTAACTATTTATAGTCGTGGTATAAACATATATCACACCTATCTCTTGGACTTTAGTACGCAACTAGTAATGGTGTTCCAGAAGAAGACGGTCTTTGTGGTTTTCGATCCCTTTCTCGCTACGCTAATTTTATACTTTAAATACCTATTGTAATCGTTATTATTTTATTCATTACTTATACAATTAATGTCTTTTAATTATTAGGTACATTAATATATTATATTAAATCATAACAACAWATAATATTTTACCAGCTACGTTTATTTTGGGGACTTACTAAATCCGTCAATTGTACAGTACCAATAACAGACGTCCAATCTTTGGAATCTTTAAATCCACTCTCAACGTCAATTTTGCTAAACGAACTTCAACCATAACTCAGACAGCTGTGGTAAACAATTTAATAATTTAATAAATATATGTCACTATAGAGTTCGCTCCTTCCCACTCACGAAACTGTGATTCAATTTCCCCATAACAAGTACCTATTTCTTAAACGGAGCTGATAATATTGTAAAAAAACAAACAATTTCATATTTTTTAGCTGGTTTTGTGTGAATTATTACGAAGATCGTTCATCGGTTTAAATTAATGGGTTTAAATTAATGATAATATGGTATTGCGTTATTGTACATTTCAAATGGGCCTCTATTAGCCACAAATGTTCTCGAAATAGAAAAGTGTTAAAAACCGAAGTGGCGAAGTATATTATTATGAGTAATACAAAGTCGAATTTAAATGAATACCTACGTATCGTGATGTATATTTGATACACAATTCGAACAACGCTTTGCCTGTTTCTTTAAAACGTGCTGATATTAAAAGGTAGGTATTATGTAGTAGAACTTTTACGGTCCACGAAACCCAAGGGATCCAAATGACAATTCGAGTTTCAGCGACTTTTTGAGTTTGTGAGTACGAGGGGAGAATTTTTTACTATTGAAAAGTTCGAGCCGTGCCAGTTGTGTATAATATATTGTTATAACGTAGCCATCATGGGTGATCTATACTGTTAAATATAAAATGTCTGGGGATGGTACCACAGCTAGTGGTTGGTAGGAGATGAACTTAAATAACGAGGACTCGGTTTCAGTAATTATTACATTGCATTGCCTATGCCTGCAGTATGAGCCGTAATAACTATATAAATTATTGATATTTTAATATTATTATATGATACACGTCTTATATCTGCAGGTTACTATAGTGCCATGTAAGTAACACAGTAATCGTTACGATGTCTAATACGTACTCTAATATTGGTGACGACGTCCACTCTCTTCGGTTTTCTTTTYCATTCCTCCGTTGGTATATTACACTATTTTTCGCTTACTAGCGAATTTCAGTGGCGGCGGGAATACCATAAATATAATATTATTTTATCATAAATTATTATAACGACAGCGACTATACGTGCGTGTGTGTGCGGTTAAACCACGTCACGCCGTCTCGGTTATATTATAATATTTCGTTATATATACACCGCGAAATCTATATACGCGACTTGATTTTTTATACGACATCGTCGGTGGTGTTGGCGGCGTCGGCGGCGTGCTCTTCTCGCTCGTAATAATTTCTTTCAGCCCGCCTGCTCGCCCGCTCGCCAGTATATAAGAACGACAACGACGACGATTATTACACACTGTATATATGAATATATACCCATCACGACCACTATATATATATATATATACCACAAGACTAGTACCAATTTATATGCAAAATATCCGACGATTATTATTATTATTATTGTTGTTGTTATTATTACGATCATAATTCACTGAGTCCGCCGGCGGCTGTGCCCGTGTAACGAGTAATAGTAGTAATTGTATACCTCGTATATATATATATTAAGCTCACACAGTACAGCCGAGTAGATAATATATGATACATAATGTCATATACGTATAATATATATATATATATATATATTTTTTTCTTTTTTGCGACATGCAACAATTTTCTGCGGTGGCTTTTATTATTATTATAATATATTATTTAATTCGCTGGCAATAATCGCCACTATATGGTCTCGTGATAATGTCGTCGGGTAATACGCGAGTGCGTGTGCGTGTGTACGTATACTCTGAGAATTTTAAATTTTTCATTTTATACCTTGTCCTTATATACCAGCCACCAATTTCGTCCTTCCTCAACCGACTGTTGCAGCTTAAAAAAAAWTAATTGATTGGAAATTGAGCGAGCGGTAGTAATACGTCCACGGTGACTGCAAACGAAACGAATCGATCACGAAATCGTTCAGTAAAACGTTTAGATTTTTTTCAATCATTATTTGCGCGTACGTATATCTTAATATTTTATRCATACACATAATATTATTATTCATATAATTATTAACGTGGCTCCGTAAGCTTGAAAAATTTTAATATCAATATTGTAGCCAAATTTGACAGGATTTGAAGTATCATGCGATTTAGTTTTTCGTAACACAATAAATAATAGTTAAAAATATGTGTATAAAAAGGGTTTCTTAYCTATGCGTAAATTATAGACACACTTTTGCAAAATCGTACATTTATTTTACATTTATAAAGAGCATTTCAAMAACGTAAATACRAAGTATTATATAGTTTTTACGTAAGTGTATAAGAATCAACTGACCAATTTTTTATGTCTATTGAAAACAAAATTGTTGGGAACATAAAAATTTCAAAATAATACCACAGACGGTAAATTCATTAAAAATAATGGTCGTTTCACAAGTCTAAACTATTTTTAAAAAAAACTAAAAAAATGTGTTTATTGATATAAGTTAGTGAAATAAAAAATATTAGGATGCACTGTTTTGTTTATACATTAAAAAAAAGAATTTAAATGAATAAATAATAACTAATAGTATTTTATAAAATACTTAAACATTTTTAGTGATTATTTRAAAATTTTTAGGAGCCCTGATTTTATAGTAATATTATATGATCTGATATTTGATATTTTGTTTCATATGGTTGCAGCAGGCTGTTGTTGCAGTGGGAACATAATATAGTTTTTTTGTCGTCCCTCACGCGGTTATGTTTTTTTACTAAATAAAGTTTCGGATGATTGCCAAAATAGTAGATATCTTCGAAATACTCTGCAAATAATAATAATATTTGTGACGGATAAAGGAATAAACGAYATGGCGATATTTTAATAACACGTCGTCATCGTCGGTATAGTCTATTTGGGAAGATAAACAAACCGCGAGAGAAACGAAATAATAAATGCGCTAAAATTAACGAATCGGCTAACACTGGTGGCTCTCCGATTGACGATAATAATAATAATATCATCATTGAGCAGCTGTTCTATGCTACAATAATGACATGTAAACATTATTATATCATAGTTATTGTGCCAATAACATCCGTTACACGCTCGAGCGTAACCCTCATCGATGGCCATAGTTGTAATAATAACAATAATGTAGTACAGCCGGTCCGTGATCGGTAAACTATAAACATCACTTGTCGATATAGTCTAGTCWGATTGATCTCATACAACGGATCACATATTATTAATGTTAGACAGAATTAGAGTACGTTTGAGTTGTATTTATATTAGGCACTAAAATAATGGTAAAGTGAAATAAAAAATTAGCGCGTTATTAGATATTTTGTCGGGATTTCATTAAACTAAAATTTTTTTTTTTTATTATTATTCTTAATTTACGTTTCTATGGCAATAAACAAAGTTTCACGCAAATCGGTTGGAAAAAAATTGTATTATATCCAACACAAAAATAATATATATAACTACTGTGTCAAACAATAATTGTATACTATATGTATTTTTATTATTTTTATTATTATTTAACAAATACGCCTCAACTATTTGGGGTTATTGGCGTTTCAAAATAYATATTATCGTTTACTTAATTTTTATAGGATAATAAATTGTTAACAGTTGAAAAATTGATACAATAAGTTTTAAGAGAAATATGTTTACAATATGTGTGTTATTATAAGTTTTGCTAATGTTATTATATTTTATGCAGAAGGTTGATCTATTTGAGGAATTCTAATAGAGTGATGATGTTCTCTCTTTGTTTAGTGCAAGTATTTCACACATATTGTTGGGGGGCATCAGTTTGTGTCTGACGTCTTTTGAGAGGAAGCATTCAGTTAATCCCGTTGTTCCTTTTTGTTCATTAAATGCTCATGAATGTTTAATGTGTGGCCAATTYATAGTCTGTCGATGATGATTTGATGTYTGCGTGGGAGTGACATATTGTGCATCCAAGGGAGGGTAGAGGATTTAATTTCCCTTAGTTTATTATTTTGTATAAATCTCTATTCTCGAAGACATGTTTGATTGAGGTTAGCGTTTATTTGATGTTTTGTGTCGAAATGGTTTGTAATATTCCAGAATTCGGTTTGTTCTTTGGCTGATCTTTTGACTATTTTGTCTGTGATTTCATTATCTGACAATATGTATTATAAGTATACATAATAACATATTTTTATTGAAAATAATATGGTAAAAAAGTTATTGTCAATAATTTACGAAATAAAATACTTTACTCAACAATAATAATTATTATTGTGGAGTATTGTTATAAATTGGTTGTTTGAATAATAATTAGTGCACTTTTTAAAAGTAAGGGAAAAAGTATAATTAACATTTAAATAATGGGAAGAAATAATCAGTGACATAGCCACAGGGCCYAGATTTCTKCAGGCCTTTCAGAAAACTTGGAAAAATTTAAAAATGCTATCATTTCAATTTATTCTGTTATGTTTTCACCTATGTTCAAGATTTATGTTTACGCGTCAAAATGCATATAGAGAAACCATTATTACAATATTAAAGGCTAAACAGTTTTAATGCTTTGGTCTTGTAAAAGTACGGTTTTTTATAAAGTAAAATCAACTGTTTATAAACTTAAGGAGATTACAAAAATTACTCCACATACTAACATAGAAGTATATATTTAAAATGTACAGGTATAATATCGTATATTAATATGTATATTTGAGTAGAACTTGCTTGCGTACAATTTATTTCTATGGGAACACTATCGTGTACGATTATACAATCAATTAGGACTACATTAATTTGGGGAGTTGAGCCTTTGAGTTGAAGGTGACCTGTAACCACCCAGATAATTGTGTGAAAAAATACCCTTCATCCCAGTGGCTCTCTACAGTCATAAACAAAACTGAATAATAGAACAAAACAATATTAATTTTATTTWAAAAAAARCACAACTAATACAGAAATTGATAAGTTGGTATTATCAGGTGCCTCGATACCATTATAATACAGTCCAGCATTCATCCATGGGTAACTCAGATTTTCTTAGTTCACGGTGGCTATCTGTTTAGAATTAGACATATTCCAAAAAACACATTTACTTATCTATTCTTAAATATRTTATCATTAAAAAATTACTATAMAATTTCCTTTAACATACTATATGTTAAGCTTTCTATACTAGTGCTCCACCTATTTAWCCCTAGATATGCAATATGTATACGATTCATTATTTTTTTGTGACACGATTATGTTTTTGCGTACATATATTAAACATAATATCACAAAGAAGTCCCTTAAATATAGTACAATTGTGCAGTGTATACTARATATAGGTTCAAATTTATGATTGGCTAAAAATAAAACAATTAATGAAGACATTTTCACTTTTAAACTTTTCACAAAAGCAAAAATTAATACATTTTTATTTTACTCAATAATTATAATCTCATAATACTGCTTATGTTATTATCCAACAAATAATTATTRAAAACAATTAATTAATAAACATTTTCCTTGATAAATAGAGTTATTTAGGAATATAAAGGTATACTCATGAGTTATGACTAGTTATATTGACTATATTATTATATCTCAATATTTGATTTTTCAAGGTGAAATATTTCCGACCAAATTATTCCTCCACCGTCCAACAGAAAAATGTTTGTTTTTATTATATTGAAGCAAATCGCATTTGCTCTATTCGATTAAAATTTTTATTAATTGCAGATACATTCTACAACTGAATCAGCAGTAAACCACAACGGCGGAATTGGGCTAGAGAATGACGTCTACAGTGGTAGATCAACAACAGCTGATTACTTTCGTTCGAAAACAATGCCCAGGTAATACACTGAATGGTATCTGGATAGTTGTTAATCAAAATTAAAAAGTACTTTGACAAAASTGTTATTGAAAAATGTTATTTATGAACTATCGGTTGAAAAAAATGTTTTTGRTACTRTAACWGTCTTTGATCMAAAATTAATATATTTATGTAATACACGTAAGTATAGAGTATATTATGGAAGTTACATTGAAATCTGTATTGTAACTATGCATTAATTTTTACAGAAGAGCTAATTTTATTATTACACATTTTTAGAACAATTAAATCCACGTTTGAGCAAATAATACAATAATAATTTTAAAAAAAATTGGTTTATTAGTGAAAATTAATTAAATTGTTTAGTAGCAACAAACAAAAGAAAAATAGAATAGTTCATAATTAGAATAATAATGATTAATTAAGGTTCTAAATTTTTAACGCTTTTATTTTTTATGTACAAATGAATCAATACTTTGTTTAAACATTTATTTCAATAACTCAGTATAGGATCCTATATTAGGACTCAGTTATCATTGCTGTGGTACTGTACGTGTGGGTGTGATTTATGCGTGACGACTGAAATATGTGAAACAAATATTTTGTTCTGATTTGTTAAACGTATATTATGTTATGGCTCATTAGAAATAATATGGCTATTAAAAAAACTGACCAGGATAAGTGTACAATAGACCCGATTTTACCAAAGCATATGTATAGCTACATATATAATATATACCTATCATAAAGCAAATTATTTAAATATTCAAATAATTTCGTAATAGTGCAATTAATGTAATGAACAGTAGTTAATTTTTGCTTTTATGGTAAGTTCTTATGGATAAGTCATTAGAAAACACGATACATTTTGTTWTTAATAATTAATTATTAAATTTAAAAGCCTACAGTTATCTAGTAGTATTACAATTTAATCAACTTTGTGCCAAATGGATTGTCTGGTAGGGTAAAAATTGAAACTGATGYATCTTTTATCACATTTTTTGAACATAACCAAATAAGTATAGTTACTAGGTAGGTACATAATATATTTTATAATACTATATAATATAATATTATAAACAATTAGAAATAGAACTGTATCCTAGAATACYCTTCTCTGCAGACTCAACCAATGACACTAAATGTATTCTAACCTGCTTAGATCCTCCTCCCAAGTACTTATCTACAAATTTAAATATTGAATAGGTATGCGCATAATAATATAATCCAATTATTAAAAATGATTTTAACTTTATTTTTACTGAAATTTTGTGTGATAGTATACTGTCAAAAGCTTCACTATTATATCTAAAAAAAGTTGATAACTATTATATTTTCGTCTTGTTTAACCATATAGGTTAGGTTCACATATTTTTCAATAGGATTTTCATGTTAGTCTTTTGTTTCTGTCCTTAAATCTGTCTTATAATAATTTGAGGTATTGAAAATCTGCAATATTTTTTTATTTTTAAATAATTTATAAACATCTTTTATGATTTTGAATTTTGCAAATATTTCGATAAATTCATGAAATAGATCGATTACCTATCTATATAGATCATGAAATATATTTTATAATCATTATATATTAGTAATATAAAGCAAATCATTTGTGAATCAGTCAATGATAAGCCCTTCTTTAAAGTTTGATAAAATTTAAACATATTCAGTTTTAATTACATTTTTTAGTTGTTTTCCACTACACCTTAGCTGTATTTGCATCTCGAAAATAATAACAGAAGAATTTTTCGACTTCACTTCCCCTGCGCTGAACTATTTGAGTGAACTACCTCGACATGCTCATTATATATTATATATTAATACAATAATGTATAACAATAAAGTACCTCGTCGAATRTCAATATGCACCGCTTACCGTACTATAATACCAATCTAAGTAGGTTGATACCGCAAACAAACTGATGGCCGCATAATAATATAATAAAAGCCACAGCCACTGATAAACATATACTAATACACTGAGGAGGTAAATTATTATATTGTCTTCGATAAAGTTTGATATAAAATGTAAACACTGCACTCGAGTGGTTTCGTTTTTTTATATCTGTCATGATAGTATGGATGGCTTACCTACCGCCTCTATTTACGCCACATCATAATAATTATTAATATATTATACTGGAAAAAACATTTTACGGCAAACGTGCGATAGGGAAAGAGATATTAAAATGTTTGACTTTTATTTCAATCTTTTTCACCGAAAAATTGTCCCCCTTTCAGCATAGATTATGCATTTATTGATAAACATCCTTTACAATGGCCTTAAATATTGTGAATGGTAGAGGGTTTGTTATAACTAATATTGGATGTCTGAAAGTACCTACAAATTTAGCTATATTGAAAAAAATTACTTTAAAAATATTTGTATAATACCTCATTTTTGTTTGATATAAATACGAGTATGTACCTCAGTATTAGATTGATACAATAAACTGTATAAATGGTTTAAAATACACATTAATTAARGTTATTTAAATAATTCTAATTAGTGTGTATTACAGCAGTGAACTGTTGAGGCGAATTATTGAGGGTGGGGTACTACCTGAAATTGTAATATAGCCATCTAAATCTCTTACCGATATTAAGTATGTTGCTTAAAAAAAAAAAAAAAAAAAAATTAAAAAATATAGCTAGTGCTATGTACCACTTAAATATTATAAATACTTCAAACACTTGAAAATTACGAAAACCTTCTCGGAAAATTAATATG